TAAAAAAATAAATCATTATAAAACATATGGAATTTTGATATAGAATCATTAATTACATATACAAACCTTAAAAAAAATGTATCATTTCCTTATTTCGATTTCTTATAGGGCTGTTTGCCAATAATTTGGCTTTTTCAATCAATATTGCATCACTTAATATTGCTTGATGCTGATAATTCAAAACAAATTCCTTTAGAGCAAGTTCAAGTTCAGGAAAGGGAACTAATTTGTTTCATTTTTGTTCTGGATGAATAACTTCTATGGCAAGTCATTTATTTGAACTTTTTAAAATTCGTGTTATTGTAGACTTATCAACTCTAACATCCCATTTTTTTTCAATCCAATCAATATATTAGGTTTGGGTTAACTTGTTCTTATCAGCATATAGACAAAGCTCATATTTTTGAGAGCTTGAAAGAGTTACTTTTTTTTTGAAAATGTCATATTAGAAAAAAGAAAAAAAAATACAAGAACACGTTTTAAAAAAATAAAAAACATGACTTGCAATATTAATTTAAACAGCATTGTGAAACCAAAAAAAAGAAATGGTATCGTGATATTAAGCAAAAAAAGGTATATTAAAAGTAGCATTTTATTTAAGATTAAACTATAAAACTGAAGTCACTAAATTGAAATATAAGGTTGGAAGTTAAAATAGTTGAGATAAAGAAGTAAGTATTAGAATTATTGGAAGTTGAAGTTGGTGTTTGAAATTGAAAGTTGTTGGAGTTGTATATCGAAATTAGAAGTTGTTGGAGTTGAAAGTTGAAATTGAAAATTGTTGAGGAGTTGGTAGTGTTAAAGTATTGTTGGCATTGGTGGTGTTGTAGTATTGTTGATGTTGACGGTGTTGAAGTATTTTTGGTGTTGATGGTGTTAAAGTATTATTGGTATTGGTAGTGTTGGAGTTGAAAGTCATTGCTATTAAAGTTGGCAATTATTGATGTTGAAGTTAGCAGTTTTTGACATTTGAGATTACAAAGATTATAAACCCGATGAGAAGATTAGTAGAGGCTAAAAAAGAGAAAGTATTTTTTCTTTTTATATTTTTATTTGAAAACGATTGAATTTTTAACCTTTTTTTTTGTATTGATAGAATATACTACAATGGGATGTACAATGATGAAATATTTACGATAAATCACGTGAAGTCACGTGAGATGCATTTAGAGAGATGATTGCATAATAGTCCAGACTAAAAAATTGTTGCAATGTACAAAAAGGAAGGGTGTGCATTTAGCATTAAGTTCTGAGCTTAGGACCAGATCATAGAGTGTATTTATATAGGGTGTGCACTTATAGAGGATGCATTTATAGAGAGTTGACTGTATATGTGTTTTTGTTTAGAAGAATTAAAATATATCTAATAAATTTGACCAAAGAATCAGTAGCCACATCAGATAATCGATATCTCTCTTGATATAATAAAATCCATAAAACAATCCAATAAAAGCCTATACTAAAATCAATGATTAGTATTTCTGGATCATCATCATATACGTTTTCTGGTGCATCAAATCCTCTATATAAATATTCATTTGACCTTTCTTCGATAAAATCAAAGTCATTATCATATTGATCATCTTCTCTATCATCACTACCACTAGCATCATAATCAGAAATATTTTGTTCGATAAGAACAATAGGGTATGTCACTTTCTTGCTAATTCTACTGCCAAAATTTTTCTGTTTACCTCTCGATATACCTTTTTGTGATTAAGTAAGAAATGAATAATTTTCTTCATAATGAATATGTTTAGTTTCATGATAATTATCATTATCTGATGATTCAACTTCCATTGGATAATTTGAAATGTCTACCGATACATTTTGGTCAAAAGAACCTTTATTTAAATTTATATATTGTATATTATCAATAATTCCTCTTGATTTAATATCTTTTTTCAAATTATGTTTTTCTGTATGTAAATCAACCATGCAACCTTTGCATTTATTACAATAGCAATGTATTTTGTTTATCGAACCTTGTTTAGTTTTATTGGATTATTTTACAAATGAATCTTTAGTTATTTAATAGGTTCTTGGCATTTTAAATTGGATGTTTAGAAAAACTTTTTTTAATCTTAATAAAACATGATTCTTTGATGAGCAAATATGTTAGCATTTATATATTACCATATTGAACTAATAATTAATTAATTAAATTCATATTCTAATTATAAGAAAGTTTCATCATGTGAAAAAAAGCTTACATCAATAAACTATTTAAAAATTTTTAATAGGTTCTTATTCAATATAAAAAAATAATATATAAAGGCATCATATCAGACTGTTTTCCATCATGATCTAACTTTTTTCTTTTTCATTTTTTTCTTATCACATAATTATTAATTAATCCCTGCTGACCTTTTACGCTAATCTAATTATTACAATATTAGAAAAAAAGTAAATAATTACATTAATTACGAAAATAAGTAAGATATAAAAGAATGAATTTTACTTTACCTTATTTTTTTATTCTATTGGTTCCTTTATTCTAATTTTTATTATTCAATGTTTGACAAAATACATGTAATCGAAAACCTTTCAAGATCAAGAAAATACATTCAACGTGTTTCTCTTTTTGCAATAATCATACAACAATGTTACTACATCATAAAACAAAAAGCTAACATCACCTTGTATCAATAAGAAGAGATAATTCTAAATGCTACACTGGATATTTGAAAAAGCCGTCAAGTTATAACTGTTCACCAAGCATTCATAAAAGATGTTCGCCCACAAGATATACTAACAGTGGTTATTCTCTTATAAGATATAACAGAGATCGTTCTCCTACAAGATATAGCAGCGATCATTCTTCTACAAGAAATAATAGGGATAATGGTATAGTTATCTTACTTTCTATGTTTTTAGATTTTTAAATAAATATGGTTTAACAATTTTAGTGGTTTCAAATTTAGATATAGAAACTTTAAGCAGGACCATTAGTGCACTTACAGAAGAAGTTCGTAGTATCAAGAATTCTCAAGCAACAGGCAATTTACAAGGTGAATTGCAGGAAGAAGAGACGTCTTCTCAAGCATCAGTTCCTCAAGCAGAATATAGACAAAAAATATATCACTTACACCAGAACTGGAAGTCAGATACTGTAAATATGCCTGAACACTTCTTGAAAATATGGATGAAGACCAATACAAATTGTTTCATATAAGCATTGAGTAGCTATCGGTTGTAAAAAAAAATTCATTTAATGATTTTTTTATTAAAATCAAGGATGAGACCTAATTGGTCTCAATGATTCATTGCAGCTGGATTATACCAAAAATGGTTTGAAATTGTACGTCACATTTCAAAATATATTATGAAGGAGATTTCTAAAGCTTTGGCGTAAGATTTCAGTTTAAAGAAATGGAATTAAAGTGGATTTTGCAGAATCTACACCGCCACTGTAAAGAAAATTGGATTGTCAGTCTTGATCCAAATAAAGATAAGGCTGAAAAGAAAAGGAAAGGAATAAATTCTCGAAGAAAAGATGTAAGTATTGGAGATCACTCATGAGATGATATCAGCAATCTAATAAATTCTAATGTATTTTGATTAATAACAGAAAAAAGAGCAACAACAAAAAGGCATTGTTCATATGTTTAATATCAACGATTCATTACTTGCAGAGCTTCAATCGTCTTCTCTATCTCTGGATGACTTTAAGGAGGATTGTTAAACTTTAATGAATGAGAGAGAATATTATAGAGACGAAGTTTCTGAAACTGATGATGAGCTTACCAAAAAGGAGATGAAGATTAAGTTCAGCCTAAAACCAAAAATCATTAGATAGACATGTTCTTCATGTCTACGACAAATCTTGAAGGTCATGTCGTATAAGTTTAAATAAATGAATCACAAAAGATTTGTTTATTAATTATTATTTTATTATTTAATAGGTATGAGAATTACTTCGTTTGTCTGATAAAGTTGGTGAAAATATAAGTCATATAAAAGTTTCACATTGTTACTGATACAAGAATGGAAGATAGACTGATAAATTCAAACTTTCAGAAAATGCTCCAGAATGGACTATTGCGCAGTTATACTATATAGGCCAAAAGGGGGATTCTGGGACAGATTTCAAATAGACTTCCAAACCCCGCCTACGAATCAAATTTGCTATATGATTTCTAATATTAAATTCAAGTCTCTAGCGTCTTTTGACTCA